ATACTAGTCTCGACATTCCGTTGCACTAACTCTTAAGATGGTATAGAGCTAGTTAGATCCTAGCCCACTCAACGCCTTAGCACGAGCCGTGGCCCGAGCTTTAGCCCGCAGTGCGCCTCCGCCTCGTGCCCGCCCCCAGCCCGCGCTAGCGCGATCAGCCCGAGCCCTCCGCGCCTTCGCGCCCAGCCCGTGCTAGCACGCTCAGCCCGCGCCCTCCGCGCCTTTGCGCCCAGCCCGCGCTAGTGCGCTCAGCCCGCGCCCTCCGCACCTTTGCGCCACCACGCCCAGCCCGTGCTCACCGCACCTCCGCGCCTCCACGCCTCTGCGCCTCCGTGCCTCCGCGCATCTGCCCTCCGCGCTGCCCACGCCGTCCGCGCCCTGTCCTTCACCTGCGCCCTGCCCATAGTCCGCACCCTGCCTTTGGCCCACGCCCTGCCCTCCGCACGCGCCGTGCCCATAGCCAGTGGCAGTCGCGCACGCCACTGCTGCACGTGCATTGCAGCAGCAGCGCTAGCATTTCAGCAGCAGCGCGTGCATTGCTCCAGCAGCGCGCGCATTGCTGCAGCAGCGCGCGCATTGCTGCAGCAGCGCGCGCATTGCTGCAGCAGCCCGTGCATTGTAGCAGCAGCACGGCTACACAGCAGCTAGCCGCCAGCAGCTCGCCGCTAGCAGCAACTAGCCGCTGGCAGCAACTAGCCACCACCATCTAGCCGCCAACTAGCTGCTCCCACCCGCCCATAACCCCTTCCAATCGCTCACATCCCCCCATCCCGCGCGCACACCGCCCAGGACCACCCGACCTCTGTTCGTTCGACATTCGCGTCACTCATATGCACAGTGCTAAGCACCTTCGCGGTTGGAGGCCGCTCCACTTAGCTGTTTAGGCTAGTCATTGCGTTCGGTGTTAGCTAGATCCGCCAGCCCCTCAACTCTCTGGCTCCTCAATCGCCTCGTCAGCCCTGCCTCCTCCAGCCGCCTGCTCCTAGCCCAGCTAGCTCCCAGTTCCGTTCGTTACTGGACTAGCGTTCCTAGCTCAATTTTCCTCCGTGCTCCAACAGTACCTCGCCTCGTTCCACCTGGCGCTCCTCGCTCCTAGCCCCTACTGCCGCATGTACTTTCCACTGCCAGCGGCTCTACTAGAGGCAATCGACAGCCGCACTTATGGTTTCTAGCTCCAGCCAGTTGTGCTCTAGCCGTTCTAGCTCCAGCCGTTTTCGCTCCAGCCGATTCAGCTCCAGCCGTTTGAGCTCCAGCCTTTCTTGCTCCAGCCGTTCTCGCTCCTCGCTCCTAGCTCAGTTTGCTCCGTGCTCCAGTCGTTACTCACCTGGTTTTGCCTGGCGCTCCTAGTTGTTCTCGTTTTTCACTGCAGTCGTCCCAAGCGCCTGTCGCTCCTAGCCTGCCGCTCCTGCACCCCGCTAGCCTTTCTCATGGAGTTTACTAGGGTTCTCCAGCAGCAGGGACAGCAGCAGCGGTCGTTTCAGCAGTGGCGCCCACAGCAGTAGTGGCACCCGCAGCAGATGTGGCGCCCTCAGCAGTCATGGGGGCCCGGTGGTTCAGGTAGCGTTGGCTGCAGCAGCGGCCCAGCCAGCTGAAGGACTCGTCGCGGTGGCCGCGACGTCGGCCCCTGCCAGTACCGGATCCTGACTGGCCCTGGTGCTGGCACTACCTGCTGGCGTCGTGACCACTCTACAGCCGTCTCGACGACCTCTACCGTGAGCGTTTTAGGTCTGTGTCGGCTCCCCGATCTGGCCTGGTCTTGTTCGTAGTGGGTTCCCCGTGTTTGATATGTCTACGGATGTTTATTCTGTCACGTATGGATCTATTGGCTTGCGTGTACCTAGCTTATGACCTTTGCCTGTTGCTAGTGTAGGTACTTGTGCTTTAGTGTAGGTGCTTGTGTAGTCACTAGCCCAGCCGTGACGACTGCAGTAGCGTCGCTCTCCTTCACGCTGGACTCCGGCGCGTCTCAGTGTTTCTTCCGTGACCACACCACTGCCACACCTTTTTCGGCTCCAGTCCCAGTTGCCCTGGCTGATCCTACTTCAGGACCAGCAGTTGCTAGCAGCTCGACCACTCCTTTCCCTTCTTGTTTCTTTACTGGTCTCTACATCCCCTCGTTCTCTTGGAACTTGGTGGGGTTTGGATACCTTCAGAACCGGAGGATCACTGTCACTTTTCCTGCGCAGGGGAGGACTGCAATCTATAGACTCTTCCACCGGAGCATTTCTTGTCACGTTCACTAGAGAGCCATACTCAGGTCTCTTCGTCCTGCACACTCCGCCCCAGCAGGTAGCTGCGTCTGGTCAGGTTGTGTCGTCCTCCCCGGTAGCAGAGTCCAATCAGGTTACAGTGTCCCCACAGGTTGCTGTATCCGGTCAGGTTTCTGCGTCTCCTCAGGTTGCCGCGTCTTGCTCCTGTCGGTCTTTCACCCACCGGACAATCTTGTGGCACCACCGTCTTGGCCACTCGTCGATCCTCCGCCTCCGCACTATGGCTAGTCACCGTCTTGTTACAGGTCTCCCTAGAGTCTTTACGTCGCTCCCTCCCTCGCCTGCACTGCTGTGCACTCCTTGCGTCGACGACCGTCTTCGTGCCACTCCACACTCCTCCTCCCTTTGTCCGGCCACTGCTCCCTTCCAGACGCTCCACTTGGACGTCTGGGGCCCCGTACCTACGCGGGGACCTGAGAGGGAGCGCTACTTTCTGGTGGTCGTCGACGACTTCTCCAGGTACACCACGGTGTTTCATTTCGCGAAGAAGTCTGAGGTGACTTCTACGCTGATCAGGTGGCTTTTAGCCACTGAGGGCACCCGTGGCCGTCGTGTCTCTTGTCTCCACTCTGACCGTGGCAGTGAGTTTCGCTCAGGCATTCTTGCCGGATTCTGCGGCGAGCAGGGCATCGTACAGTCCTTGACGCTGCCGGAGTCCCCACAGCAGAATGGGGTTGCTGAGCGCCGCATTGGCTTGGTCATGGACATCGCCCGCACGTCCATGATTCTGGCAGGTGGGGGGACGAGGGAGGGGGAACGGGGAAACGGGGAGTGGGGTTGGGGTTTGGCCCCATTATCTGTGGCCCTACGCGGTTCTCTACGCCGCTCACCAGCTGAACCTCCAGCCGCGCGTCTCGCGGCCAGAGGCTTCACCGACCAATCATTGGACCAGGTCCCCTAGTGTTGGGTCAGCCTTTCGTGTCTGGGGCTGCCTTGCGCTTGTCTGTGACACCTCTGCGGACAAGCTCTCGCCTCGCGCCGTCCCCTGTGTCTTCCTTGGTTTCCCGGTAGCCTCTGCAGTCTGGTCCTTTTACCACTCGCCTCTCCACCAGTTCCTAGACTCACGTGACGTCCGGTTCGACGAGTCAGTTTCCTACTACACCCGGTATCCTTGTCGAGGTCTCCCGGTTCCCCCTCCCCCCCTTTTTCTCGCACCCTCTCTTTCCCGTGCTCTCCCTCCTCCGGTACCGCCGTCCCCCCCTGGTCCTGCCCCGTCAGGTGTGTCTTACGCCACCCCTCTACCCTCGGTCGCGCGTCAGGTAGCGTCTCCCTCCTCTTAAGACACTTGTTACTGACCCTGTCGGCTGCTGTGTCAGCCTTAGTCACTTAGATCGTTGACTCTGCTGCTACGTGCTGCCTTGACTACCTCGAAAGGCAACATTGCTTGAGGCATCTCTTTGTTCGTCATTTGCGCTAGTCTCCTGCCATAGTTTTGTTTAGTCCTCTTGCCCCAATGCACTTCAAGCTTGGCGCCTTTACTACCGAAATCCAACCGTCTAGCTTGATAGCGTTAACATTTAAGCCGATATAGTAAGTATAATTTTTTAATATAAAATCCTGCGATGCACTGAGTTGTGATGGATCGAAGCATCCCTATCCACTATGGATCGCGGTGCGCGCACTTGGATGAACGGGACAGGTTGGCAGCCGTCGCAAACGGGTCCGTGCGTCACGAACGACGTTCAACAAGAGGCGGACGCAGCCTCGTACTGGACAACACCCAGCTTGTGCGATGTTTGCGATGAGAAGAAAATCGCGATCCGTCAGACTCGGAAGGCTTCAGCGATTTGGGCGTGGTGATTGTTTCGAGCCGCCGTGAATCTTGGCTTCATTCTGGCTGGGGAAAAGGTCTCTCCCTCCCCTCAAATGTTGACGGATTGGACAGAAGCTGACTGCCATTTTTTCAGGGCACCATTATATTTAAGGAAGCGAAAGGCCTACCCCAACAGTTAGGTAAAAGTATTAAAAGATGCGATTCCCGTTCGCATTTACCGGAACTTATATTTTCCTCAGGGGGGTAGCATCACTATCCCTTCCACAAACCAAACGGAATACCAAGCTGTCAAAAAGAGGAGCCTCTTGTTTAGGGTGGAATTTACTTCTGAGTGTACCTGGAGTAACCGGCCGAAGGGTATTACCCCCAGAAGTATAGACCCCCTGCTGCTCTGCATTTCCCGCTGGATGGTTTGCGTTCTGGGTGGGCTACGCGAGGTTCAGCAACACACACAGAACACCCTTGCACATTCTCCCCACCCAGCTCCCAGCAGAAACTGCGTGGTGTGTGGGGTGGAAACTAAGAAGCCACCCATTTAGTTGAATTGCCAGAATAGAGGCTGATTTTGGCGGCGCGTAAGCTAGCACGCCTGCATTGGCCCGATACTCCTCTAGCTTAGAGCTTCCGAGCCTCCGGCAATAATATACTCCTGTTTGCTTGTTCGTTCACTCAAAAGGCGCGAGACAACCGACACCTCTTTTTGCCGTTAGACAACAAACTCCCTCTCATATAAACAATATAGTCGACAAAGCGCCTCCGCTTTATCCGCGCAGTCGGAAAAAAACGCGCAGAGTTCTCCTGGCTTCTGCGGAGAGCTCTTTCTTCTAGCTCTAGTTCCATTGTTCAAACTCTTCAATGTTCAATCAGTTCCGCCCAGGCTCAGGCGGGGGCGGGAGACCTGGGGGCGGGGGTGCGGCGCCAGCGGTACAATCGGGCGGAAGAAGCGCGGGTGGGGGATGAGCGACATGGCTGCGGGCCGGCAGGTCGCAGCAACATCGGCGGACCCCCGGGATGGCGGAAGGCAAGGTGATTCGCGCGCGAAGCAGCGCGGAGGGGGGATCGGCGCGTTTCCGCTAGTTGCGCTTGTTGGTGCTGTCGGCTCTGGCGTCGCGGTACGTGCCGGCTATACTGCCGTCGAGACTCCTTCTGTGCCCCTTCATTCTCTCTCGGTCTCTTTCTCTCCCTCTGTCTCTCTCTATATGTCCCTCCCTCGCTCTCTCTCACACTCTTCTCCCCCTCGGTCTATGCTCTCTACAAGTATTTGACCTAGTACTATTATTTCCTTTTATTATATTTAAGAGGCTACGCACTGCTGTGTGAAGGACTCCCTGCGTCATTTCTTGTATCGCATGCTTGAGTGCATGCGAGCGCCGCCGCGTGCAGGGCGCCTTCGCCGCGCCGCTGCGTGCCGTGGCGGCTGTGCTGCTTGAACCGTGCTTGACCGTACCGCACTCCTCGCCGCGTGTCACCTTCTCCTGCTACATGTCGCCGTTCCGAGAGATGTTGCACCGACATTTCCCACCGACGCCACGGCCCACTTACGTGGTGTCGTCTCAATTGTCTGTTCCACGTGTCATCTCAACTGTCTATTCCACGTGTCATCTCCCCCGCTCCTTCCAGGCGCTCGTGATGCATCTCCGCGGCGCGGAGCAGAAGCGCGCCGAGCTGGAGCGACACGTCAGCATGCTACAGAAACAGCTGGCGAAACAGCAGGTGAGAAGAGAACAACGAAAAACGAATGCGCCCGCCGAGCAAGGTGAGGTCCGAAGCGCGAATGTTATCGCGCCGATGAAGCGCGCTGATAACGGCCGCTGATAAATCGTGCCGATAAGATAGAATACCGTCGCACCTTTCCTCAACGCCTCAACATCTCTCCCCGCCATCTAAGCGTATTGAGTAACACGCGTAGCTAGTGCCGGGCTGGGACCTCGCCCGCTTAAGTTAACGGGCGGTCGAACACAACGCTTGAACACCTTCCCAACGCCGCAACACCTCTCCCGCCTGAAGTCCGCGATTTGCTGCCCTCCGCAATTCGTCCGACGTTGACGGCCTCAGCGCTACTGGCTGGGTTCAGAGCGGTGTAGCGAGGTAGAACGAGGTAAAAGCGAGGGGTACAGCGAGGCGCGAACGAAGAGTAAATATTACACGCGTCATCGTCCACCCTCCTCTCCTCCCCCTCCCCTCCCCCTCCCCTCCCCCGTTCTCTTCCCCGCCCCCTCCCCCACTCACCCCCTCCCCCCACGTTCCTGCGCCTAAACCACGTGGTGCGACAGGGTCGTCGGTCGCACAAAGCTTCGGCGGATTCCGGCGCGGATGATGCGCAACCCGCTTCTCCTTCCGCGGACGGCGCTGGTGCTTATAACGAAGCGGCGGTGGCGGCGGCGGCGGAGGCGGCGGCGGCGGCCAATGGCGCAGCGGTGCGCGCGGAGCTGATGGGCGCGGTGCAGGCGCAGGCGGAGGCGGTGGCGCGGCTGGACGCGGCGATGGGCGCGCTGCAGGAGGAGGTGGCGGAAGGGCGCAACGCGTCGCTTCTGCTGCTGCTGGAGGCGGAAGAGGTGCGCGCGGGGGGGGGGGAGGGGGAACGCGGAAAAGGGCAAGGGGGAGCGGGGAGCGGGGAGCGGGAGGGTTTAGTGGGAGTGGAGAAAAATGCGGGCTCAACACGGGAGAATGGGAGGAAACGGGGATTGCGTGGGGAGAGTGAGGGTAAGAGGTGGCAGGAGCAAGAACGGAGAAGGGTGAGCGGCAGAGAGAGCATAAGGGCGCGCTTTTCTCTTCCTTCTTCCCGCATCCTCCACCTCTCCCCCCGCATGTTGCTGACATCTTCGCCTTCTCTCTCCCCCTTGCCGTCATCCTTTCTCTCGCCAAAAACCTTCCCTTCTTACCCTCCCCAGTCCCTCTCCATCGCCCCGCCCACTCGTTCTCTCTCTCCGTGTGCTTTACCCTTAACTCTTTCCGCCTTGCCTACCTTTGATTCCCTCTTCCCTCTCCCTCGATTGCCTTTCTCTTTCCTTGTTTCACCTCGTTTCCCGCCGATTCCGCTGCCCCCCTGTGACCCGCAGTTAACTCCCGTTCCCCGCCTCCCCCAACCTTCCCGCCCCCGTCCCACCTTCCCGGCCCTTTCTCTCCCATTTTTCCCCCCGTTCTTCCCCCCGTTCTCCCCCCATGTTCTTTCCCCCGTTCTCCCCCCCACGTTCTCCCCCACGTTCTCCCCCCCCCCCCCCCCCCCCTCCCCCCGGTTCTCCCCCCCCTGCAGAAGTACCAGAAGGCGAGCGCGGACGCGGAGGGCATGGCGGGCGTGCGGCAGGGGGAGATGGCTGCGCTCGCAGAGCAAGTCAAGGTGAGATGCTGCTGGTGCTGCTGGTGCTGGTGCTGGTGCTGCTGCTGCTGTTGCTGCTGCTGATGCTGCTGCTGCTGGTGCGGGTGGTGCGGGTGGTGCTGAGGCTGCTGGTGGTGCTGATGCTGATGGGTGCTCTAGTCTTGTTTCTCCCATCATTTCCACCCTTCTCCCCGTCCTTCCTTACTCTCCTCCCTCCAAACTCCTACAAATCTGTTATCCCTCACCCTCTCATCTCCCCCCCCCCCTCTCTCCCCCCTGTCTCCCCCTCCCGTCCCCCAGTCCCTCCAAGCGCTAGTGGAGTCATTACAGCAGCAGCAGCGAGCAGAGAGCGATGGCAATCCCAAGGCACCGTCAGCCAAGGTTTTGAGTTAGATTGAAAGCCCGACCCCTCCCTCCCTCCTCTCCCCTTCCCTTCCCCCTCCTCCCTTCAACCCCCACCCTTCAACCCCCTCCCCTCCTTCCCTCCCATCCCCCAGTCCCTCCAAGCGCTAGTGGATTCGCTACAGCAGCAGCAACGAGCAGAGGGCAACAGCATTGCACCGTCAAATCGAAAGCCCCCCCTCTCCCTTCCACCCCCTCCCTTCCCTCCGCTCCTTCCCCCCTCTCCCTTCCCCTCCCTCCCTTCCACCCCCTCCCTTCCACCCCCTCCCTTCTCCCCCTCCCTTACCCCCCTCCCCTTCCGCCCTCCCTTCTCCCCTCCCCTCCTTCCCTCCCGTCCCCCAGTCCCTCCAAGCGCTAGTGGAGTCGCTACAGCAGCAGCAACGGGCAGAGGGCACCGGCATTCCCAAGGCACCGTCAGCGAATGGGGAGGTGCACGCGACCCCAGGGGGCGCGGGAGGGGCATGGCAGGGGGAGCTGCAGCAGCACGTGCAGGAGCTGCGGCAGTATGTGGACAGCCGCTGCGGCGATGCTGTCTCCGCTGCTAACGTCTCTCTCAAGGTATGCCATATGCAGATGTTCTTGAAGAGGGGGAAGGGGGGGAGGGAGGGAAGGGGGGGAGATGGCACGCCACAGCACACCACAGCACACCACAGCACACCACAGCACACCACAGCACGCCACAGCACGCCACAGCACACCACAGCACGCCACTCATCCCTCTTGCCCTCTTCCACCTCTCCGCCCTGAACCTTCCTCTCCGTCCTTTCATGCCACCAACCTTCTCCCTTCACTCCTCATCTCTCCTCCTCTCCGCCTTTCTCTGCTCTTTCTCCCACCGCACACACCAGGCACTGGAGCAGCAACTGCTAGAGACGCAGCAGCAGCAGGCGGCGGCAGCAGAGGTAGCAGCAGCAGTGGCAAGCACACAGGAGGAGGCGAGGAAAGCGAGGGAGATGGTAGAGGCACTGCAAGACGAGGTTGTTCTCTTGGCTGCTTCTGGTGCTGGTGGGGGCGGTGCTGGTGCTGGTGGTGGTGCTGGTGGTGGTGCGCGGGAGGAAAAGGAGAAGGAGAGGGAGGAGGCCGAAGCGAAACGGGAGGTCCGGCTGGCAGCTGCCGAAGCTGCGGTAGCCTCGGTGGCAGAGCTCCGAACCAAGCTGGTTGCCATGGAAACCTCCCTGGGAGCGTCTTTAGAAGCAAAGATAAAGAAGACAGTATCTGAAACCATCGAATCCTCCCAGAAAGCCAACAACGAGAGCAATATGATGACTCAAGAGAGGGTGTCTAGTCTTGAATCAAGCCTGGAAGAGCTTCAAGTGAATCTTGGCGATGTGGAGGGCAGCTTGGGAAAAGTTCAGATCCGCGTCGGGCACCTGGTGGAAAAGTTTTCGCCTCTGGATGAGGACATCGGGCAGCTGCAGGAGCTGGTGGGCAGGTTGAAGAGTGAGGTGGAGGAAGCGAGTGGGAAGATTGCTGCTGTGGAAGGCAAGGCAGGGGCCGCGGCTGTTGCTGCGGCGGCTGCTGCTGATAAGGCCGCTGCCGCTTCTGCTGCTGCAGCAGCTGCCGCCGCCGCTGCGGCTGCTTCACCTGCTCCCTCACTGGCTGCTGGTGCTGCTGGTGTAGACTCAGTAGTAGTAGCAGCAGCAGCGTTTGAGCAAAGTGTGGTAAGGAAAACTGCAGTGAGCGAGGGTGTGAGAGAGGAGGAGGAGGTGAGGGAGGAGGAGAAGGTGGTGGTGGAAGATGTGACAGCTGCTGCTGCTGCTGGGGCCGCGTTGAAGAGCCAGGTGGAAATAGAACCATCCACTGCAGCAGCATCAGCTGCATCAGCAGCATCCACGTCTGCTGCTGCTGCCGCTGCTGGCGGTGCTGCTTCCGCTGCTGCTGAGTCTGCTGCCGCTGCTGCAGCGGCAGCGGCTGCGGCAGAAGCCGCGGTTGCAGCAGCAGCGGCGGCAGCGGAGAGTGCTGCTGAGAGGAAGCTAGCAGCAGTGCGGGAGGAGTGGACGAGCTCTCTAGTCACGTCTATTTCTGCGGATGTCTCTGCAGCTAAGGAGGCAGCGGCAAGGCTTGAAGACAGGCTGAACGAGCGGTTCGCAACGGTGGATGTGAGGTTTGGAACGGTGAACGAGAGGCTCGAAACGGTGAACAAGAGGTTCGGAACGCTGGATGAGAGGTTCGGCGAGCTGGAGGAACGGGTGGCGGAAACCGAGGCTAGAGCCGTGGCTCGGGATGGCACTGTGTGTTCAGTGGAGGCTAAGTTGGTGGCTTTGCAAGATGATGTGGAGGGGAGGGGTGAGGTTGTGAGTGAGCTGAGGAAACTGGTAGAAGAGGAGAGGGAAGAGAGGCGTGTGGAAGTGAGGGAGTTGAGGGAGGTGGTGGAGGGAGAGAGGGAGAAGGTGGGGGCGAGTGTGAAGGAACTGAGGGATCAGGTGACTGCGGTGGAAAGTCTTGCGGCTGCCCAGAAAGTGGAGCTCGGGCAGCAGAAAGAAAAGGTTTGGGAGCAGGGGGAGGAGATTGAGAGGATTGGGAAGCAGATGGAGGAGAGTGGGAAGAAGCAGCAGGAGGAGCGAGAGGAGGAGAGAGAGAAAGAGAGGGCAGCAACGGCTCTTGCTGTGGACGAGTGTAAGGAGCAGGTGAAGGGGGTCAAAGCCATGGTGAAGCACCTCTCCGAGTCTGTCGAAGAGGTTCGGAACGACATGCGCCCGATTTCCGACGCTGTGGTCGAGGTCCGGGTGACCATGGCTGAGGCTCGGAACCTTCAGCAGGAGGCTGAGGAGGCTGTGGGGAGGCTGAGAAGCAAAGTAGAGGGGGTGCAGGATTCAGTGATAGAGGTGAAAAAGGAAGTGGAAGAAAACAAGTCGGAACTAGATAAGGTGAAGCATGGTCTGCATGAGTGCAGGGATGAGGTGGTGGAACTGCGAGGCACGCTTGCGGACGTTCGGAAGCACGGCGAGGAGGCTCGGGAGGCGCACGAAGGGCTGCAGGAGGAGGTTCGGGAAGCGAAAACGGGGCTTCGGGCGAGTGTCGACGCGTTGGAGACAGGCTTGGAGGAGGTTCGGCAGGCAGTGACTATGGCTCGGGAGGATATTTCCACTTTCCAGGAAAGCGCGGACTGCACTGACAATGAGGTGGCTTTGATCAAGGAGCAGGTTCGGTCAATTCAAGATGACGTGGGTCTGGTTCGGAAGGATGCTGTTCAGGTTCGGGTGGATGTGGACTCGCTTCGGATGGAACTAGGTTCGGTAGAACGTAGCTTGGAATCCACATCCCAGATGGCCACAGCTTCGGAAGAGGAGATCCAGGAGGTTCGGAAAGGCTTGCTGTCGACAGTCCACACAGAGGTGGACAAGGTTCGGGAGAGCGTGGAAGAGGTTCGGGAGGAGGTGAAGGAGGTTCGGGTAGATATGGTTCGGGCAGAGGAGAAAGCAGCGGCAACGCTGCGAGATGCAGAAGCATCGGCACGAAAAGCAGTGGCGGCTCTGCAAGGGGAGTTTAAAGCCGAAGTAACTAGCGTGCGTAAAGAGGTAACAGTGGTACGGGAGGAGGCGGAGAATTTAAGTCATAGAGCTGATATGACCGATTCCCTTACGTCCTCTCTTTCAGACAGTCTTGCACAGGCCCAGACCGACATTTCGGAGGTTCGGAAGGAGGTTGGTGTTGCCCGAACCGAAGCTGGCGAGGCTCGGAAGGTGCTGGAGGCGAGCCTCCGGACCACGGCGGAAGGCTTGGAGGAGAAGATTGAGGAGACTCGGCAGCAGATAGGGCTGAAGGCAGCAGCGGTGCAAGCAGAGGTGAAAGGAGTGCAGAGCGATTTGCAGGAGCGGGTGGGTGAGATCAAAACAGTGCTCAAGGAAGGGGAGGAGGCACAGTCTTTAAGGGTGGTTGCGTTGGAAAAGAAGCTCTCGGGTGTGGTGGCAGGAGGGGAGGAGGCGGTGAGCGCAGTAGCAGCACGTCTGAACCAAGTGGCTGAAGAGGTGGCAGATGTGGCGAATCGGGGCGAGCAGCACGCAGCAGACGCCGCTGCAGCGATCGAGCGCACAGAGAGAGAGCTTGCAGCAGCCGTGGCGTCGTCAGCAGCGGCAGCAGCAGCGGAACGGGAGGGGATTGTGGAGCGGGTGAACGGACTAGACCTATCCGTGCGTGGATTGGAGGAGAAGGCGGAGGAGGGCAGGCAGCGCGCCGACGCTGCAGACGCAGCGATCAAAGCGGTGCAAGCAGAGGTGGCGGCGGATAGACAGAAGGCGGAGGAGCGGGCAGCGGAGGAGGAGCTGCGGAAATGGACAGACGCAGAGAAGACCCAGGCGCTGCAGAAAGACGTGTCCGCGCTGCAGCAGCGGCAGGGCGAGCAGGAGCGGGAACTCAAGCGGCAGGAGGAGGAGCGGGTGGCCGCGGCGCAGAAGATGCTGACGCGGCTGCAGGCGGACGTGCGGGCGCTGGTGGAGAAACTGGAGGAGGTGGTGCGGGAGGAGCAGGCGGGCGTGCGGGGGGAGTTGCGGAGCGCGGTGGTGGAGCTGCAGGGCGGGCTGGCGGAGGTGAAGGGGGGTTGGGGAAGGTGGAAGCGCAGCTGGGGGTTGTGGAGGGGAAGGCGCAGACGGGCATCAGTGCTTGCCAGGAGGTAAGTGCATCGGGAGGAGGGGGGACGTGGAAGGGGTGGGGATTGCGAGGGGCGTGGATTGGAAGGGTCACGGGTGTGGGTGTGTGGGAGTGTGGGAGTGGGAGTAAGTGTGGGACTGGGTGTGGGTGGGGTGCGGGGGGTGCGGGGCGGGGGGGGGGGGGGGGTGGTGACCATGGGACACGAGATTGACATTGAGTTCAATTCAACGCAACATAATTCCCTAATCCCTCCTTCCCCTCTCTCTTTCCCCTTGTTCCGGCCCTCTCTCGCTGCCTACAACCTTTCTCCACTTTCCACCGTCCAATCGCCAACCTCCACCCACATCTCCCAACTCCTCCTTGCAACTGCCTCAAACCTTACGCCCCAAACCCCCACCCCAAACCCCAAAACCTGCACCGTGCAGGAGGAGAAGCGGCTGGTGGGGGTGTGTGCGGAGATGAAGGGCGAGATACAGCGCGTGGAGGGCGACCTGAACGCGCTCTCCATGTCGCACAGCCAGGTGCTGGCGTACATGCAGGCCAAGCAGGCTAAAGAGGCCAAGGGCCACGGTGAGTGCCATGCGGTGGGAGGCGGTGGGAGGCGGTGGGAACACTAGGGTAGGCAAGGGTGGAATGGGGTGGGGTAGAGCAGTGGGGCACAGCCAGGTGCTGGCGTACATGCAGGCCAAGCAGGCCAAGGACGCCAAGGGCCACGGTGAGTGCCCCGTAGTGGTGAGGGGTGGTGAGGAGTGGTGAAAAATGGTGGGAAGACAAGGGATGGCTAAGGGCCTCGAGGTGTGCAGGCCAAGCAGGTCAAGGTGGCCAAGGCTGGTGCGGGAGTGTGCGTGGAGAGAAGTGGTGGGGAGAGGTGGTGAGGGGTGGTGAACGGTGGGAAGAGCGCAAAAGTGTGGTTCATAGTGCTAGGCATATGGTGCTAGGCATGGTGTTAGGCATGGTGTTAGGCATGGTGTTAGGCATGGTGTTAGGCATGGTACCAGACAGGCCAGAAGTGGTGCACTAACTTCTCTGCCCTTGTGTCCCCTCCACCATTCCCCCACACACACCCCCCCCCCAATCCCCCTGTATCTCCCACTCCCCCCTCCCCACCACCCACCAGGCTTAATGAAGTGGACCAAGCGCAACATAGCATCACGCTCTGAGGGCCCCTCTCCCCACGAGTCGCCACGCAACCTACCGAAGCGCTGGTGGCCCCCCTCCCCCGCCACGGATGTGCACAGCAGCATGCGCTCTGATACCAGTGATGATTTCCGTGACCGGGAGTGAGGCGGGCTTTGAGAGAGCGCTTTGGAGTTTTGTTACCTACCATACTTTTGTTTCTCTTTGAAGGATTCCTCTTTTTTATGCAAGGGATAACTGGTACGAGTGGAAGAAGAAATGCGTTAGGGATATGTGACTGAGCTAGTGAGGTGCCCAGGTGTTTGGTTTAGATGTGTGCAGTACAGTGTACTGATGTGGTATGTAGTAGTGGTAGGCTCTGCATGTGGTGCAGTTTTGTGACAGGCTTTTTTGGGGGGTGTGGTTTGTTTAGGGATGTGATATGTTAGGAACTAACACCTTTTTGTATGTAAGGATTTTGGTAGAGTAATGTAACTTGTAGAATCTAGTAGCTTGTATCTTTGCAGTTGTAGCAAGACTTCGTAGAAGAAACTACAGCTACACTCTTCATAGATCTTCCATAGGCTTGTCATCATGTTATTAATGAAATTAGGACAAACAAGGTTCGACGTTAATGTCGGAAGGGTTGCGTAGGACATACTTTTCATGCTAAGTCATAAAACGAACTGTTTGATATTATACTTATGGTATATAGAGAAAGCAACGAACTATGTCTCTTTATAACATGTTTGTAAGTTATTTATTTCGTTATTGCTCATGGTAATTTATTACTACCACTGGTTGTTGTTAAAGGCAATTTTCTAAAGAGTACGGTGCTGCCTCTGGGGGTGGTGTGCTTGGTGCTTCGGAGGTCGACTCTGGGGCTGCCGCTGCCCCGGACACTACTCCTTCCCCCCACCCCTACCCGACCAGGTTCCAGGCTCGTGTTCGCCGTGCTCGTGAGGAGCAGCTGGAGTTGGAGAGAGAGGAGAGAGAGTTGCAGCGGCTCGAGGAGCAGGAGCGACAGCAGCAGGGGCAGCAGCCGCTGGAGCAGCAGCAGTTGCCGTCTCCTCCTCCTGTCTCGGGTCTTCGGACCCTTGGTCTCCCCTCTCCCTCTCCTTCCTCCTCCCCCTCTCCTCCCGTCTCTGGTCCTCCGCTTCCTCCTCCTGACCCCTCTCCCGCTGTTTTCCCTCGTTCTCAGTCTTCGTTGTCCCCTCCTCCTTCTCAGACTTGGGCCTCTCGTCGCTCCCCTCGTGCTCGTCCCTCGTCTCCTGTTCCCTTCACTGACCTTCGTACTGCCTTACTTCGTTCTAGTCCACCTCGTCCGTCTCCGTCTGTGCTTCCGTCTCCTCCTGAGTCGGCTCTCACTGCGTCGCTCCCTACTCCTGTCACTGACTACTACCGCACGTACCGTCCTCTTCTCTCTCGTGTTCTCGCCTCGCTTGTTACTCACCCTCGTGCCTCTGTGTCCTCTGTGTCCGCTCTTACTGCCGCAGTCACTGACTTTGCCTCTACCCGCCGCCTTGACTTCGCCACCGCGCTTGTGGCTGCTCCTCCTTCCAGTCCTCTGGCCGTCGGGGGTGTGTCTGCCCTTGGCTGTGACGCCCTAGAGGACAGGCAGTTTGAGCTAGAGTTCCTGGCGGCCGCTTCCCCTCATCTCTGTGCCATGCTCCTCGCCCCTGAGGGTGACCCTGACGCCCTTGACATTCCGACTCCTCGCACTTACGCTGAGGCAGTGTCAGAGCCTTGGGCCTCTCAGTGGAGAGCTGCCATGGACGCAGAGATGGCCTCCTACAGATCCACAGGCACCTACGTCGATGAGGTTCCCCCTCCGGGGGCGAACGTAGTCGACGGCATGTGGATCTACAGGGTGAAGCGGCCACCGGGATCTCCTCCGGTCTTCAAGGCGCGCTACGTGGCTAGAGGTTTCAGTCAGCGCGAGGGAGTTGACTTCTTTCAGACCTTCGCGCCCACCCCGAAGATGACCACTCTTCGGGTGTTACTACACGTAGCAGCACAGAGAGACTACGAGTTACACTCTCTCGACTTCTCTACTGCTTTCCTTCAGGGCAGTCTTCACGAGGAGGTCTGGTTGCGTCGTCCCTCTGCCTTCACTGGCTCTTTCCCTCCTGGGACCCAGTGGAGGCTGAGGCGACCGGTTTACGGTCTTCGTCAGGCTCCTCGTGAGTGGCACGACACCCTGCGTTCTACCCTGTCTGACCTTGGGTTCCAGCCGTCTTCTGCTGACCCGTCGCTGTTCGTTCGTCGTGGCCCCACACCTTTCTTTGTTCTGGTCTACGTTGACGACCTTGTTTTCGCCACCCCTGACAGGGTTGCTTTAGCACACGTGAAGTCCGAACTGCAGAAGAGACACACCTGCACTGATCTTGGTGAGCTGCGCCACTACCTTGGCCTGCAGATCACCAGGGACAGAGCTGCTCGCACCATTACACTTTCACAGTCGCACATGGTGCAGCAGGTCCTTCAGCGGTTCGGGCTTCAGCACTCCACAGTACAGCGCACACCTCTTGCTGTTGACCACAGACTCACTGGACCCTTTCCTGACGAGCCGTTCGAGCCTAGTGGTCCCTACGCAGAGCTTGTGGGTTGCCTCATGTACCTGATGACTTGTACTCGCCCGGACCTCGCCTTCCCTCTCAGCGTTCTTGCGCGCTTTGTTGCGCCAGGGAGACACCGTCCTGTTCACTGGACAGCAGCTGTGAGGGTGGCGAAGTACCTAGCGACGACGTCAGGCGTGGGGCTAGTTCTTGGAGGGCAGCAGTCTGTCGTACTTACTGGTCACTGTGACTCCTCTTACGCTGACGACGCTGAGACTCACAGGTCTACTCAGGGGTACTGTTTCAGCCTGGGTTCTGGAGCTGTTTCCTGGCGGTCCACGCGCTCCTCTTCGGTCTCGACCTCTACAGCTGAGGCTGAGATCTACGCTGGTGCCATGGCGGCACAGGAGCTGCGTTGGTTGACCTTCTTGCTCACCGACCTTGGTGAGCGGCCGAGCTCTGCACCGACCTTGTTCACTGACAACAAGGCGTCTATTCTCCTTTGTCGAGAGCCACGACTGGAGAGCAGAGTGAAGCACATTCACGTCAGGTACTTTCTTCTGCGAGAGTTGCAGAGGCGTGGACAGGCTCGCTTTGAGTTTGTGGAGTCCGAGGCCAACACTGCAGACATCTTCACCAAGGCGCTTCCGCCTTGTGACCACCAGAGGTGCTGTGTGCAGTTAGGCCTTGTTGACACTGGTTCTCGTGTTGCTTAGACTTGAGTGTACTGTTTACTTTGCTTTCTATATATCTCTGTTACTTCTTGGACTGGCCTTGTGGCCACTGTTGTTTGTGCTCAGACTGTGTGGTGACGTTGTGATCCACCCTGAGCTTCGTTTCTTGGACTGGTCTTGTGACCGTACTCGTGTGGTTCTGCTAGACACCCCTCACTTAGGCTATGGGGGTGTGTCAAATGTTGTAGCCTATAGTGAGGTTTGTCTTAGGGGGTACAAAACTTAGGGTTAGCTATATGTACCCCAACCAACATCAATGCATCATCCATTCTTCATTCTGACATCGACGTTAACGTCGGAAGGGTTGCGTAGGACATACTTTTCATGCTAAGTCATAAAACGAACTGTTTGATATTATACTTATGGTATATAGAGAAAGCAACGAACTATGTCTCTTTATAACATGTTTGTAAGTTATTTATTTCGTTATTGCTCATGGTAATTTATTACTACCACTGGTTGTTGTTAAAGGCAATTTTCTAAAGAATATAAGTTTTTCTTCGTTTTCCTAAGCAATTATGTTCTCTATTGAGTTAATGTATTTGCAGCCCAATCTTATGTGTCACAAACAGCTAATACTAATCATCTACAACTTTCTTGATTTTGGCGAGTATAAAGGAACTGGTAGATTTCGATTGTGAAAACTGGTTCGTGCCTCGTTGGCAGAAAAATTTCTTGCCAGCGCTACACAAACCCAACCAAACCTTTCCCCACTGTCAACTCTGCTCCCTTTGGGAGTCCCGTTTCTTGAATTCAATCACCTGCTCGACCCTTATCTCCCCACCCCAAATACCTTCACACTCGTTTTGTTAAAACCACCTTGCCGTCATCTCTCCCTCACTCCTGGCCGTTGCCTCACCTCACCCCCCACCGTCGCCTCTCCCTCCCTCCCCGCCGTCGCTCTCCCTTCCTCCTCGTCGTCGCCTCTCCCTCCCTTCCCGCCGTCGCCTTTGGTGGGTTGCTGCACGACCACGCGTTGTTTTCTTAGGCACGGTTGTCTCAGGTGCGTTTGCTACTCTCTCCGAAATGTCCTATCTTTCCACTTTCCTCGTAAGTTCCCAATGCCAATTGGTCTCCTCTTAGCATTGTGCCTCCATTTTAAGAAGGGGAGAGAGGGAGTGTGAGGGAGTGTGTGCGCACGAGAGCGAGCACGCAGGCGCATAGCGCGTTGGCGCCTAACGGGCTGGCGCCAAACGCGCTGGCGCCTAGCACGCTGGCGCCTAACGCGCAGGCGCCTAGAGCGCTGGCGCCTAACGCGCTAGAGCCTAGCGCGCTGGCGATTGCTGCGCTGGCGCCTAACGCGCTGGTGCCAAACGCGCTGGCGCCTAGCGCGCTGGCGCCAACGCGCAGGTGCCTAGAGCGCTGGCGCCTAACGCGCTAGCGCCTAGCGCGCTGGCGCTTGCTGCGCTGGCGCCAAACGCGCTGGCGCCTAGTGCGCTGGCGCCTAACGCGCTAGCGCCTAGCGCGCTGGCGCTTGCTGCGCTGGCGCCTAACGCGCTGGCGCCAAACGCGCTGGCGCCAAACGCGCTGGCGCCAAACGCGCTGGCGCCAAACGCGCTGGCGCATAGCACGCTGGTGCCTAACGCACCGGCGCCTAGCGCGCTGGCGCCTAATGCGCAGGCGCATAGCGCGCTGGCGCCTAACGCGCTGGCGCCTTACGCGCTTGCACCTAATAATGCGCTGGCGCCTTACGTTTGGCGCCTTGCGCGCTGGCACCTAATAATGCGCTGGCGCCTTACGTTTGGCGCCTTGCATGTGCCCTCGCAGTGCGCTGGCACCTTGTAGCGTGCTGGCGGCTTGTGCGCTGCTGCCTTGTTTGCGGCGCTGGCAAATTCCTGCGGCAGCCTTGTTGCGGCAGCGCGCTGGTAAATTTGTGCACACGCTCACGCCTTGCTGCAGTGAGCTCACGCGTTGCTGCAGTGAGCTCACGCCTTGCTGCAGTGAGCTCACGCGTTGCTGCAGTGAGCTCACGCGTTGCTGCAGTGAGCTCACGCGTTGCTGCAGTGAGCTCACGCGTTGCTGCAGTGAGCTCACGCGTTGCTGCAGTGAGCTCACGCGTTGCTGCAGTGAGCTCACGCCTTGCTGCAGTGAGCTCATGCCTTGCTGCAGTGAGTTCACGCCTTGTTACAGCAGTCCGCTTGCTCCTCTGCCAGTGCCTTGCTGCAACTCTCTGGCACCTTGTAGCATGGCGATGCCCAGCTCGTTGCACCAAGGCACCTTGCTCGCTGGAGCCTTGCTGCACACCAGCATGGTGTGTGTGACCCCAGGGGATCTATGCTTCAAATCACGCTTGTGAGTCGTCAAATGCAGTGTTCTTTTGTACTTATTTCTTTTAAATTTCATTTCACAATCAAGTGCGTGCTCGTCATTGAATAGTTCACTCCGTTTTCCGACTACAATTCGTTTTCTACTTGACCTGTTTGTTTTGCAAGGTGTGCGAGACGCGTTGTGGGGAGCAGGGAGGGATCGAGAGAGGGGACAATGTGGAAAAGGGTGGGAGGAGATTTCGATGGCGGAGGAGAGGAAGGAAGGCGGAAAGGGGGAGGGGGGGGGACAAGGTAGCAGAGATTGATACATAATTAACTTATTGCAACTCTTTGTTATGCTTGTCTGCTCTCAATCTATTTGTGTATGTATGCGTGTGCGGTGCGGGTGTGTTTTGTGCGGGTGTGTGTTCATGTCTTGTCATTGTGTTTGTTTCACTGTGGGGTTGCACTTTGATGCATTCGTGTGTTCGGTTACGTGGGTTGTACTTTTTTTTACGTGCGTTTGCATTCGTGTTTGTGGGATGTGTGTTTCAAAGTGTGGTGTTAGTATGTGTTATGTATGCAATTAGAGGTTGTTAATCGTCTTTGGGGCAGCGTGTTTTCGCTGTTTCAACGACCCCATCAACCTCTGTTGCTGCATGATGCATTTTAACATTCATTTTGAAGCACTCACTCCACCTCATACCTTGTTGTTCATTTGTACAATTGCATTCGTTCATGTCGATGCCATAACATTATGCTCGGCCGCATGATCCGCTGTATTTATCGACGGGGTTGTGACGGTCGAGCAAGTTCATGGTTTCAACATGATACGTACGTGCTTACGTGTTTTGGGGATCTCATTCAATATTGTTTTTTATCCACTATTTGAGGCATCCGTTTGAACACAGTTTCAAAACATTCAAACGAGTGCTCCAAAACGTGCGTAAAAAACACTCTTAGAATGATATCCCCAAAATGTGAAACCAAATATAAAGGGTTGCTACGCAACCCAAAACTCTGTAGGAAGGCCAAACGCGAGACACTTTGTTTCAGTGAGCTGTTTCTAACGAGACGAGCCACAGATTGAGTCGTGGATGTGCAACCGCTTCCCGCCAACAACCTCCTCACCAAATTCGAAGCACACAGTGACCGTTGAACAATTCATCCCCCTTCCCCCCATCATTCTTCCCCAGCCCAGAACAAGCAGGTACATGCACTTCCGAGTTGGTTGTTCAATGTATCCACAGCCGTACGTGTATCGTGTGGGATATCTTGGCACGCACGCAGTAGAGATATCCATGTACACTGGTGCTTGCTACTAGGTGACAGTGCTTACTGCTAGGAGATAGTGCTTACTGCTAGGAGATAGTGCTTACTGCTAGGTGCTAGCGCGCGTTTGCTGATCGCGTGAACCGCGCGTTTCGCGGGCTGGCTGGCTCTTTTTCCCTCCAGCCCGCGCATACCAGCATGGCTCTCGGCGGATCGCCCGTCGCGGCGAGCGCGTTCGGATACGCATTCAGGTGCGCACGGGCTGTTGCAGGAGACGAGTTTAGAGTAGACTCGATAATGAGATCTTTGCAGTTAACGCTCCCTGGTACGCATTGACGTTGAATGAGATGAGCTTGGAGGGTGTGTGCGGTAGTGGTGTTTTCAAAGCACCGTCCTGAGATGAACTCCCCAGTTCATAAGACGTCTCAGCCTCAGTACGTGGTTCCAAAGCTCCGTGCGGAGATTTTACATTTTCGTAGCTCCTGCTCCTCTTCCACTCGCCGCTCCGTGTACCTTCATTATCGCCTGCCTCTCCGCTTTATATGCCGCATCAGCTTCGCATCATACGCACAATCTCTTCCCTCCTCCCTCATCCCCGCATTTCCCCATCCCCGCCCCCCTCTCCTCTTGTACTCACATCTCTTTGTTTCACGCTCCACGCCCTTTACCCTGCTATCCATATCCCACTCCCCCTACCCCATTCCACTCCTCCTTCCCCAACACTCTGAAAGCATTGCTAACCCCTTCCGCATTTCTGCCCCCCCTCCCTTCCGCCACCCGCCATTCCGCCTCCCACAGCGGAGGTTTCCAAGATATCCGCAGCAGCAGCGCCAGCGTCAGCGCAGGGATCGGCGCGGGTACGAGCGCGGGTACGGGCGCATCGATTCGCGCGGGCGCCAGCGGGAGCATGAGCGCAAGTATCAGCGCGTGTGGGATGAGCGCGGGCGCGGGCGTGCGCGTATGCGTGGGCGCGAGAGGGAGGAGCGATGCGCGCTGCCTTGAAAGCCGCAAATACAGGACAGCTGTAAAACACCCGTTTCTTTCTGGTAGAACTTTTCGGTCAGGTTTGCTTGTTCAGGCAGCAACGTCAGAAGGTCCCGGGTCTGGCTCCTTAGGGAAAGGGACGGGCAGGCCGGAGGGGAGAGAAGGGAGGGGAAGGGAGGGGGGGAATGAAGGGGAGAAGAGGGGAGGAGGGAGAGGCGTAAGGAGTGGGAGTGGAAGCGAGGAGAGAAGGGGAGAGGGGAGGATGGCAAGGGGTGGCAGCAGTGGCCCGGAAGGTGCAGGGGGGGCAAGAAAAGATGCAGTGAGAGAAGTGTGGCAGGGGCAGAGGCAGGGGCAGGGGCAGGTACAGGGACAGGGGCAGGGACAGGGACAGGGGCAGGGACAGGTGAGCAGGGCAGCAGCAGGAGGCGAGGGAGGAGGAGGAGGAGGGGGTGGGGGAGGAGGAAGAGCGGGAGGCGTGCAGGCGAAGGGAAGCGCCTGGCAAGGAGAGGACGGGAGAGCAGCAGCAGGCGGATCAACCACTGCAGCATCCCGCCCGCCCACCACCACCATTGCTGCCGCTGCCGCTGCCGCTGCCGCTGCTGCTGCTGGTGCTGCTGCTGCGGGTGCTGCTGCTGCTGGAGCGAGGATGAAGCAGGAGGCGAGAAGGTGGGGCGGCAGTGGGGAAGCGGCGAGTGGCAGTGGTGGGGGCGTGGGTGCGATACCTAGTGATGGGAGAGTGGTTGGAGAGAAGGCGAGGGGAGAAACGGGCAGGCAAGAAGGAGGGGTAGTAAAGACAGGGACAGGGACCGGGGCAGGAGCAGGGGCAGGGCCAGGGACAGGGACAGGGACAGGGACAGGGACAGGGACATGGACAGGGACAGGGATGGGATATCGTGTAAGAGGTACGGCTACAGGGGAGGTGTGGGTAGATGGCTCACAACGTGGTGAGGCCAGGCGTGGAGAATCCCCTGCTGCTGCAGCAGCTTCTGCTGCTCCTGCTCCTGCTGCTCCTGCTCCTGCTGCTCCTGCTGCGGCTCCATCTCCCGTTCCTTCAGCTGCGTCTGCTGCTGCTTCTGCCGCTGCTGCTGCTGCTAAGGCGGCTGCGGCTGCAGCTGCTGCTGTGTCTAACGCTGCCAGTCCTTCAATCCCTCCCAAGGAAGCTCCCTCACCTGTGCCCAGCTCCCAGACCCGGCCTTCTCCCGCTTCCCCTCCTCCTACGGTCCCCGGTGGTTCAAAGGCAGATGGTGGTTTGACTGCAGGGAGGGCGAGCACTGCAGGACGGACTGCTGCGGGGAGTGCAGAGGGGAATGCAGGGGGCAGCGCAGGGGGCAACGCGGCGAGCAGTGATGCGTTTGTCAATGAAGGTAGGACTTTAGTTTCAAGTTCCGTGCTGTCTCTCTTACCCTTTCTCCATTTTCCGTTTCCCCTCCCCATTGTCCCCTTCTCCCCAGTACGTCAGTCTGCCTGGACGTATGTCTTCCTCATTTTCGCCTTCTGTTTCCGCAGCAACAGCCCCCACACCAGTTTGCTCACTTGTCATCTCACCCGTTCTAGTCCGATGCGTTTCATGTGAAACGGCAGCCCATGGCTTGTCCCTCTCAGCTTAATTCAAGCGGCTCAGCATTGCACCCCCAGTCCAGCCTCCAAAGCACCCAGAGTTCTAGCTCACCTCTCCCAACCCCCAATTCCTTCACTTACCTAGCCCACTTCCATCCTGCTTCGTCCCGAACCTGGGATTCCGAACGTCTCACCGACCAGCTTCAATGTTCTTGAAGTCGGATTTCAATGCCACCAGTGTCCCAACTCCCTTCCCAGCTTCCCTCTCATCTCACCTCTCAACCCCCCTCTGAACGTCCGTTTCAACGTGTCTCTGAATTGGGGAACCAGGGTTGCTGGTGTGGACGGAGCGGCGGCAGCAGTGGCTGGACGGGAACAGACTGCGCGGCACGGGAGGGAGAGCAGAACGCGCAGCAGCAGGAGGAGCAGCAGCAACAGCAGCAGCAGCAGCAGCAGCGGGGGTGGGCGGAGCGGGAGGAGCAGTAGGAGCGGCAGGAACAGCGGGAGCAGTAGGAGCAGCAGGGTATGATGTGCGGGGTGATGGGAGTGACAGACCCAGGGCTGCTGGCCCTGTGATCAGGTGCGTGCATGTGTGTGTGTGACTTGTGAGTCGACTCTACAACCACCTTGTTATGATGTGCTGGAGGGGTTATGGAAATAACTTGCCCAGGACTGCTGGCTGGTCTTGTGATCAGGTGCGCTGGGTACTGGTACTGCTGCTGGTGATGTGATGAGACAAGTCAGAAAGCAATGAGGCTAATGAGCGAAAGGATTAGTTCCCTCTCCTGTCTTCTCCCCACACCCACTCTCTCTTTCTATCTGTAGAGCGCGCACACAACCCAACCCACACCCACTCTCTCTTTATCTGTTGTCGACCATTTTCTTCATCCCACCCAACCCATTACACACACTTTTCTGCTCGCCTTGGTTCGTGCCTGAAACCTTTGTCTCACTGCCCTCCCTCCCTCCCGTCCGCCCTCGCCATCATGTGGCCCACGCCATCAGGCCAGGGAGCACATACGAGGATTTGCTCTCCACCAGTCGGCCTTTCCCCCAGCCAATTCCCCTCCCAGTAAGCCCACTCCTTTGCCCTCAAGTTCCATCCCCCTCAGCTTTCTCCCACCCACCCCCCTTGCAAACCCTTGGAATCCCTTGCATTTTCTTAACACCAACTCTCTTCTCTGACAGGCCCCCTTACATCACCCCTCCCTCCCTCCCTCCCTCCCATCCTGCCCCTCCCTCCTCGGCCTACAACCGCCCTGCTCCCTGCTTGTGTCCCTCTCGTGCATCCGCTTTGCCACCCCCCTTATTGGAAATTGTGCCGCTTTCTGTAGCACATGCATGTGTGAAGTGCATGCATATGGGTGGCTCGATTTTGAGACTTTTCAAAAAACGTATGCTGGCACAACATGCATGTGTGCACCAAGGACGAAAGCACCTCCGTCATTAGCTTCTGCTGTCATTACAGTCTGCAGCCCCTGCGTGTGCTCCCCCTGCGTGTGTTGCCCCTGTGTGTGCTGCCCCTGCGTGTGTGTGGGTCTGTTGCTCGTGGCCGTGCAGGAGATGGTTCGGTTCCTCGTCAATGTGTGGGAACAGGAGGGCCTCTATGATTGACTCAGTCTACACTACACCCACACTCCGCACTGTACATCCTGCAGTAACTTAGTTGCAGTAATAGACTGACAGTAACAGACTCAAAGCAAGGCTGGCACTACATTGTGGCGATTCTGCAGTATGCAATAACATGAAGTTTTTTGAAAGTGTGTAACACTTTCTAAAAATGTGTATTTTGAAAGCGAAGCTGCTTGTAATGCAGCAATGGCAACCGCGAAGTGCTAGACGCTCTTCGCCAACTATATAGCAGGGGGTGGAGGCCATTTGGCCTCCACCCACGTCTTCATTTGAAATTTCAACTGCATTATTTCCCACCCACCCACCCTAGCAAAAACTGCATGTTGTAATGTACCTAAACGCCCGGATATAAGACAGTGTTGAATAGTAGACAGGGGTTGTCTACTATACGGGTGTCTCTTATAAACAGGCTAGCCTCATTATAAGACACCTATTTGTGTGTACGAGATAAGACATATATGTCTTATAATCGAAACTTCAATATATGGTAGCGAAAGTTGAAATAACGCGTACATTTTTACCCTTGCGAAGCGCGAATTCTTCCACGCGCTGACCCAGGACCTACCAAATTTGCCTCTGCAGGTGTTCTCCATGACGTGGCGTCCCAGGCAGTGGTTGCCGAAGTGGCACCTTCGCAACATCCACACTCATTATGAGGAACTCTTTTTCAAGAAGTACGGAAAATATTTCTAAGTAGTTTAAAAAGTTTCCATTTATAAGACTTATAAGACACCCTAAACCATCCCGTTTACAAGATAACTCAAGCATTTTTGCCAGTGTACGAGATAAGACATATATGTCTTATATCCGGGCGATGACGGTAGGTATGTATACTTAGCCGGACGAGAATGTTGTAATGCGTATTTGAAACGAAGCACGTTGCCATTGCAAACACGAGAAAGCAAGCTTTCTATATGTGCACATTTGGCACATAGGGAATTGTAGGTCCCTCCTGAAACTCTTGCAGAGATCTGTGCTACCGGTATGTCCAGTTCCCTCCATGGATCTCTTTTCCTCACTCGATGCATGCTAGCAGGTAACGCATGCGATCCTGGTTTGCTTGCAAAGCCTTGACAAACCTACGGTAGCTTGCGCCGTAAGTGGTGGGCAAAGCATGGGAAGAACCCAAAGCGCTGGCATCTGTTGGTACGGTGGGTTTACCTGTATCTTGGAGTAACTAAACCATATTGTAATGGAGTGTGATGTGAGAGTGTCAGAATCCCAGTCACTAACCACTGGGATAAAAGGGCTTGTTTATATAGCGGGTGAGTGCGCCCATAACCCCCCAGGCCAACGGGCCTGTAACCCTTCCCTAGGATCATCGGGGATCTCCAGTGGACCTCTGACACCCCCCCGCACTGGGATGCCCGAAGTGCACACACCGGGAATCGAACCCGAGACCTTCGCTCTGATACTATGTCAGAATCCCAGTCACTAACCACTGGGATAAAAGGGCTTGTTTATATAGCGGGTGAGTGCGCCCATAACCCCCCAGGCCAACGGGCCTGTAACCCTTCCCTAGGATCAATCGAGGATCTCCAGTGGACCTCTGACAGAGAGGAACAAATGAAGCTAGGAAAAGGTAGTGCTGTATTTGTTGACCTACCGTAAGAAGGTTTACTCTGGTACTATATATTTTCCATTATGCAATAAGGACACGTCTCCTTGACATCTTGTCATCTCTGAAAACTTGCTTACACATATCTCATTACGCATATAGATAATACATATTCATTACGCTCATGTAATATGGGACATTCCCTTTGAATCTTCTGATCTCCAGAGCTGCAGGAAAAGTGAGGTGGAGCCGGTGGCGGAATCTTGTGATTCGAATCTGCCCAGCTCAAGAAGGAATCGAGCCTTCTGAAGCGCCAGAAAAGTGACTCCCGCTATCGTGGACATTGACGAAAGACCACGTGGACAGCGCGAAACTCCAGCAGGTAACTCCGAACCATGCCTAGAAAATTCCTGGTCAGGTTTCTGGGAGATGTGCGGCTCAGCGTTTCTGTTCGGTATGGTACGGTTCTGCTCTTCATTTCTGTGTTTCGTAGGCTTCACCTCACCGCAGGGTACAATTGGTTCTGCACTCTCGTGAAATGTGAGCACTTCTGCCTGGTTGGGTACGGTTCTTTTCATTGCACATTTCAACTGTCGAATGGTCGTAGCATCGCTGAACCAGCTGACCGTTGCTTGTGCTAGCCTTCCGTCCGTCATTCATTTCTTCGGCCTCTTGTGCTTTGAGTTCAACGGTCGCTTTCATTTTTGTTGGTACGTAGAACCTTGTACTTGTCTAGACATACTGTATTACCTTATTCAAGTTCTTCCTTAGTGCATGGTATTTGGGCCTCGACTTGTCCTCTTTTCTGCCTTTCTGGAGAACGCATATCTTCAGTTGATGCTATCAGTGCTGTGTGATCATGCTTTCGCCACTCTGATCGCGATTCGACGTAGTCAGCTGTCTTCCGGGGACTTGGTTGTCCCG